CTTTCATATTTTTCTCTTCGGCACTTCACTTTAGTTTTCGATCATTAATCGCTTAGTGTTTTGCTTCATTGTTGCTCAGTCTCTTTGTTACTGCTGTTGTCGTTGTTGTTGCTTTTGGTACTGTTGTTGATGTTGTTGACATTTTTGTTGTTGTTTTCGTTGTTGCTGTTGTTGTTGCTGCGGCTGCCACTGGTTTACTAGTTCAGCGGAAAAAAATTTTTTTCTATCTTATTACTTTCACGTGGAAGCAGTAGTCAGAAGTGGAAAAAAATGATGTTCAATGTCTTGGTTTGGTAGATAAGTTTTTGGCTTCGTCGGCAGGTTGAATTGCTTTGTTTTGCTTGAAAGCAGTAGAGGAATTAGGTAAGTAGAGTTAAACAGTTACGCATGCGTCTTTATTTATGATATCAGGCGATGTAATCAGAAATTTCGTGTTTCAAGGTTACTTTTGGGACGTTATATAACTTTTGCATGGTAAAAGCAAAATTCTTCTGCAGTCTTTTCTTACGATTGAAACTGGTATTTTGATCATCCGGTTGTTGCAGAATCGGTTGATCTTTAACAAATTTTCTTCTCTTTTTCATGCAGATAACGTGTGTGTGTGTGTGTATTGCTGCGCGTCAAAAATTTCTGAGCCGAAGAAACTGCCTGAGAGGAAAATTGTTGAAATATCTTTGATGAACAGCTGAAAGTTTCATTTAAATGATTAAACTGTACTAATAAGGAAGTCTGATTATTTCGTTTCATTTGTGGAGTTCAGAAGTAGAACAGCCTTATTGAGGGTTGCACTGAAGTGGCATCGTTGAACGGCTTAATTTATGCTTTTGTTTCTGCATTGCCGATTTTAGGCGTTACATGAGCAGAACCAGTTATGAAGCCCTGTATTTTGGGGGTTTTAAGTAGTAATAAGAAGATAAATTGCAGTCAAAAAAGAAAGCTGTTATTCAAACTGCAGTTTTGATCTATTCTATCAGTTTTGTCGTCGGAACTCAGACACAGTTTGCATAATTTGTTTCAACGACTGTTAAAACTAGGTTTTTTTTTTTCTACATGAACTTGTAAAGGTTTATTTTTACGTTTGATAAAAAGTGTTGAGTTTGATTCGTCAAAGCAGTTTAGTTTTATTGTGGAAAAAAAGTTGAAAATGAGTTTCATGTATATTTAGAACTACTTGATAAGTAGCCATGATGACCGCTAGGCTTAGTTAAAAGGGCTAAACTTATATTGAAAAGAGGGTTTTTCAGTTGTGTGCTTCCCCCACCCTATTGAACTAGTGGTTGCACTGATGGCAGCTTAGTGTAATCAATTTTTTGCTAGACAGGATTGAATGACGGCGGCAACAACAACAACAGCAGCAGGAGCAGAAGTTTAAGTAGTGTCACTGGGAGAGTATCGTGAAAAAAAGAAAAAAAAATATGCTAATGTTCAGCAGTTAGGTTGAGTACTTTTTTGAAGAACAAATTCTAATGAATGGTGTCTTAATTAATTGTTGCAAGAAATATTTCAGTGTAAAAGAAAAAAACATTTTTCTTATAAGTGCTTTGTTTTGATCACAATTGTGCTTTTTTTTACATTGATCTGTTCCATTTTGTTATCTTTTTTATTCATTTATTTATTTTAAATTGTAGAGCTGAAAATTGTTTTTTTTATAAGAGAATAAAGGCAAATTATTTTGTATAGTTTCAAGAATATTTTGATAAAATTTCCTCACCAAGATACTACTTTTTTTTTTAAAAAACTATAAAACTGTCCATAAGTACATCATTATAATTGTTGTCAGATGAACGCCAAAGTGTTATGGTGAACATTGGTTGAAGGAAATTTACTTAGGTAAAATGTCAGAATGGGAATTAGCTGTTGCAAAATGTTTAGTCGGTACTGAACAGATGTTTTTTTAGTTTCTGCAAAAGAAAAAAGAGATATATCATCAGTTAATGTTCCACTTTCACTCAATAAATCACCTTTTTGTTTTTTTCGCTTCAATTTATCGTCACTGAGTTGTTGTGGTGAAAAATTTTTTTGATTTAAAATTAATACAGTTTATTTTTATTTTCGAAAGTTGCTCGAAGATGACTCCGTTAGTCTCTGTACACAACTGTTTCGTTACTGAATACTTTATTTGAACATTCGCGTAAGCAGTGGTAAAATTGAAAAATAGGGAAAAAAACCATTTATTTTTGTCTATAGCTATACTACCTACCAGAAGAAAAAAAGTTGGAGAAGCCGGTGATGGTTCAGTTTTGTCAACAGAAACTGTTTACCGATTTTTAATTAATGTCAGATTGCCTTACTTACCACTTTTGACTTAGCCTTAATTTATTTTGTTTACTTTGCATAAGAGTTTTTCCTTTTCGGTAATTTTTAGTTGTTGCTAAGTACAGTGTGGAATTTATTTTACCGAATTTTGACTGTGCTATATGTTTTTAATTTTTGAACTACCTATTGAATGATAGATAATAAGCAATATATCGGGGAATAGCTGCCGCTAAAACAGTAACGTCAGACTGAACGGAACTGAAGGAAGATCTTTAGCGTAGTGGATGCCGAGGATTGCAACAATTTCTTCTTTTTTTTTCCCAAGTTGCCGATCATGGTGCCGTGTCAGGCTGAGCCATAGGTTTTTTTTCATTTATTTTTTAGGCATTTCCGTTTCTAATCTTATCCACTTTCCCCCTTTTTTTTGCTGCTACTGTTGCTGCTCCGTTTGCTGAAATATAGTTGATTTATACGTGGCAGAAGAAGAAAAAAAAGTGAAGGAGAAGAGAGGGAAGAAAAGTAAAAGAAAAGAAAAATGTAAAGTAAAGTAGTGTTCCGTTAATATAAGAAATATGGTGAAGAAATTTTATGAACATTGAATGGTTTTTTTTAATTTGTTTTTTTTCCTTTGTTTGATGACGAAGGAAAAAAAACGGTACTGTTACTGTTAAGTGAATGTCTGAGTCAATTTGAATGATAAAGCAATCACCAAATGCTTTGCGGTTTTATATTTTTATTCTTTTCTCTCTTCGGATATTACTTTTTTTGTGTTTTTATCTGTTAAAAAAAAAAAGTTTTATTTCTCATTTTTTTTATCTGTTATAATAGTGCTGTTTGACAGACCAAAGATTAGAGTTCACAAATTGTATAAATTACTGTGTAGTGATGAAAAAAGGTTGACTGACAATAAGATAGCTTTAAAATTTTTTGCCCAAATAGCCTTTTATTGTCTTTTATAGGATTTTTTTGTCTTTTTTTCCTCCTGGCTTAAACAATTAAAATTTATTTTGGAAAAAAATTTGGTCAAAAGGTTTTATGTGACTTTTAATCGGTCAATTGTTAGGTTTTCAAACACTGATCTTTTATTAAAAGTAACTCACCTTTTTTTTGTTTTGTCTCTGTGTGTGTGTGCGTATTTGTGTGGGTGGGTGAGTGTAATATTAGTTTGAACGAAAATCGAACTAGTTGTATTTATAAATAGTTTCATGAAACTGAATTCTTTGTTGGTTGGAGAAACTATTTAAGCGAGAATATGTTTGCCTATAAAATGTCAATTTTTAAAAAAAAAATTTTTTTTTACCACCTCTCTTTATTCCGTAAAGCATTGTTTTTCGTTTGAACATCGCTTTTGTTTCTACAGCTGCACCAACGGTATTGTAATGACATCTATTTTGATAACATGGGAATCTGAATTCACAAATTTATTTTGCTTCTTTGTTTCAGCATATAACAAATATTGATATTATGTTGAAAAAGTGAAAAAAAAAAGAGAGAAAATGAGAAATTTGGTTAATAACATAGAAATTTTTATTTTCACTTAAGTAAATAGACAACAGTAAAAAGATCAATGTTGATGTTGTTTGAACCTTTAAAAAATAGAGAATGAAAAAAAATTGAATAAAGAAAAAGCATACATAATTATAAATCAATAGGAAAAAGGTTTTTTTCTTATCAAACCACAAAAAAAAAATGAATTCAATGAGTAATTTAGTAGCTTAAAATATTTTTCAAAATTAAAAGAAGAACAAAGATTTTTGTCTTACTGTTTTTTAAGAAAAATTTTTTCTTCTGTTCTTCTTTTTTTTCCTACTTAACCATTTATTCTGTCAGATGTGCTTTTTCTATTGGTAGTTTTGCAGCTTTTAAACCAGTAAAGCCGAAGTTATTGAACGATGCCATTTATTAACAGCTTTGCTTCCTTGATGCAGTATAATTTGATTGTATCAGTTTAGTCACCGAATCGTTGACTGCACCGTTGATCAGTTGGAAACAAATTTGTTTTGATATCAATCTGTGTTGTTGGTAAAAAAGGATGGATGAAAAAGATGAGAAAGAAGAAATTATTGTAGGAACACAAGTTTTCTGCCGAAAAGTTCATTTTTTAAAGATTTTCTCGACGGTTTTTTATTTTTATTTTTTTATTTTTTTTGCAGAGTGCTCTTTCTATTTGTCTCGTCAAATACTAAGTGTTTATTCTAATCGACGGTATTTGTTAGATTAATAATTGATACAGCGTTGAATACTGTTTGTTTAGATTAGTGTTGTATGCAAAAAAATTTTTTTTGGTCAATTTAGGATCAAAAACGTTTAAAAGTACTTTCAAGTTCATTTATATTGTATTTCCTGGATTTGACATTTTCACAATTTATAGCAACTGATCAACAGCTAATTAATTACTTGTATTTTCTATTTTTAAGAAGCGATTGCACTGAGCATATTATGGGTTAATGTGTATCTTAGAGGAACACTTATCACTGTTATCAGTTTCACAGTCTATTTGCAGTAACCGTTAAATCGTTCTTTTTTTTCTCGTTATCGCCACTTACAGTTCCTGGTTTCTTCTTTTCTTTTCAATTTTCTGCAAAAGTGTTTGTTTTATTTCACTGTTTTTTTCTATTGTTTATCGTGGTTAATAACACTTGCTGATGGTCGTAATTGTGACAGAACTGATGTTGATTCGTGATTTATGGAGAAAAGTGTTAAAAATCCTGATTTTTTAGGCTGTTGCCGGTCTGAAATAAACTATGAGTACAAGGGAAACGACAGCTCAACCGCAAAATGACTTCATGAAAATGTCGCTGTTGAATTTTTATGATCAAAATGCGATGAAAGAAGCCTGTTTTCGTTTCCTTATGCAAAATCCAGTGGAGAAAACATTGATGCCATTTGAAATGCAAAATAATTTTGAAGCTACCACATCTGTGCTGAACAATTCCTCAAACTTTCAATTCCCTATTCTGGATGCATTGGCATCAACAAGCGCTCCAGCTCCTATCGTTTATCCCCAACAAGATTCATTCGCTGAGGCTACCTCTGAAGCTAAGGCCAATAACCTTTCTCCGTATCCGAATCCCACCCAGTATGTATCCAACAATTCAGGGTGCATTAATGGAAATATCGGCAAAAAAGCTTTATTGGTATGCAAAAATTTAAACTTGTGGAACATTTGGCAAAATGTTGTGTAAACAAAAGTCAATGAGCTATTTTATGTTCTTGTAAGCACCTATCACTTATGTGGTTTATTACTGAGGAACAGTTATGGGTGACTAGCTTACATAAAGTTTATTTCAGTTTATTAATCAGTGGTACCAAATTTTTCATAGTCAAAATGATTAATTCAACATTGAGCAAATTTTTATTTTAAATTCAAAAACAGTTTCCTTGAGAACTTTTTTTTCTTAATTTTTGCTGATGAACAAAAAAGTTCTGCGCCGATTATTAGTAGGATGAACTCATTCTTCACTGGAGAGGAGTAAATATAGTGTTATTACAGAAAAAAAATTAGCTGTGATATGTTATATTTTAGAAGAAATTTAATAGTTGCAAAACTTGGTGGATGCATATTCATCTAGGTATAAAATAATCTTTTTTTGAGTTTGTTTTTAACAGCTTTAACTTTTTCCTACAAGTTCATTTCTTTGTGTGGTCAAAGCGTGACTGAGTCAGGTTTAGATAATGTAACTTCTGCCGAGTTAAGTTTGCTTAGTAAACTTTTATTTATACTAGAGGTTATTTTACTTTTAATACAAGTGAAGTTAAGTGTAGCGAATTGTAGTTTTTCACATCAACTTCTTCAACGGTGTCAGTACTTTTAATTTAAATTTTTTTATTTATCAGTTATAACGCACTGTAAAATATGCTTTAGTATGATTAACTTTTAGAGGAGGTATCAGCAGCCAGTAGGATCTCCAGCTGTAGCTGCGGAACCGCAGTTACGGTCATGTGTATTTAGAAACCAGTTGAATGAACCTTCAGCGTGTGCTGTTCCGACAGTTCAGTGTTCAGGAGGTTCAGGAACGTTGAAGAGGCCACACCATGGTGATGTGGCTACAACGCCAACTAAAATTTTTGCAAATAATTTTGCACTTGAAAACAGTACGAATTTACGTTTTCAGAAAAATCAAAAAATTTTTTTCAGTAGATACTATTAGCGGACATTTTCATTTCTAAACTCATTTGGCTGAAACAGTCTTCTTTAGATTCTGCGGCAATGACAAATGTGCTCTCTAATCCAGCCTTTTGTGAAAGTGGTCCACCTGCACAAAAAGTAATTTCAGTACTGAAATTAATCTTCGGGATTTCTATTGTTTTTTTTCTTTCTGAATTAGCAGAATCTTATGGTTTTAAGAGAATTTAGGATAAGGAAAAGTCTTTTCCATTTTTGGCTTGTAGGATTTACTACGGAAATGCTCTGAAATCGTGTGGATTAGGTTTATCCAACGCTTGCTGTGGTTGACAGTGAGCTACATGCTGCTTTTGAATTTTTAAGACTTCAATTTATTTGTTTTTGTTTGCCAACAGTTCGTAAGAAAACAATTTTTTGGTTTTAGTTTTTTACTTCATCTGAAATATTTTAGGAATTGGAACCGGGAGCACCTATTTTTCCTGAAGTGGTAGTGAATGGGACAGCTGCTGCAGAATATTCTTGCGATGTATCTATGGTACCAAATTTTTTGTACAATAGGGCAATAGTTACAGCTGAAGAAGAAGAACTGATGAAGACTGATCCGAATAAACTCCGTTGGGCAAACTCGTCAATTGATCAAAATTTGCGTCAGGAGTATGAAAACTGCAAAAATTTACCAAACATTCCCTGCATAAATGCTTGTATTATATCGAAGTATCAGAGGTGTGCTCCGTTTGGACCAATGACTTCTCGACTAGACGAATATGGTACAACAGGCAATCAATGGCCAACAACTGCTTTAACGTCAGTGGAGATTCCGAAACCGATATTTGACAAAATTTTGTCTCGTGTCCTACACACTTTGCTTTAAAGCTGTTTTTTTAATATATTTATATTGACAAATATTGTTTGTTATGTGTTTAGACATAGTTGAAAATACAATATTAATTGACCTTCTAAAGCCACACTCTACCGCTGCTTTATTTTTTCTTCAGTTCTTTTTTTTTTAATCGCTGTTCAACTGCTATATTGGCACTTTTATCTGCAGTACAAATGATAAAAATGGTTCTCTAAATTACAGTTTATTTGGTTGGGTTTTGGGAAATTTCAGTTTAATACAGTGAATATATTTTCCATTCGTTAAACATTTTGATTTCGTCAAAGAAATTTTTTTGTTAAATGTGATCAATTAGTGCTAGCTGAATAATAAAGGATTTTAGCGTAGGAAGAATAACACTTTTTTGGAAGTGTTTTCAAACTGAACTTTGACGCAAGAAACGTTTCGTTCTTAAATGCTATATGAATTTCTAATGACAGTGGCAATGAGGATCCTCGTGTCTCTTGAGTTTCCAGGTTCAAACATTACTCTTAGTTCATAGCGGTTGCTAAGCATTGGATCTAATTTTTGACATACTCGTTGCTGTACTTTCGACCTCACCAATTTCCGAAGTTTGGAACACCCGGATTTGTCTTGCCAGAGAAATTACGGGTTTTTGTGAGTCTATCTATGTCGTTGTTCGCTGTTGTTGTTGAAGTGCTGTCATTGTGCAAAAAAAGAAAAAAAAGGAGCTAGTGTCAATACCTACTCAATTTGAAATAAAATGAATTGGAATATAGTAATCTTGGCGTAGTCACTTAACATTTTTTCCGAGTCTTAGCAAGTATAACCCAGCAGGATTTTGTAGTATTAACTTTTGTGTGCCGCTGATTTTTGCTGTCGATACTTTTCTGAAGGAAGGCAATCAAGTTTTCGTTAGCAGTGGAAGACACACCACACTATTCACATACATTTATTTTTTCTTTTACTCAATTGATACTCTTATTTGGATTATTTTTTTTTATTGTTGCAGAAATACGGAAGCTGCGAAATGTGTTTTGCAGTTTTTTTTAGTGAGGAAATCATGTGGAAATTATGCTGTTAAGCACTTTTATACACATCAACAGTGTACTTGGGATAAATCTACTTCATATTCCTAGCGCGAATTTAATGCTTTCAAACAGGTGGATATTTGTACTAATTGTTTAGAATTCGATTCACTTTGACATTTAATTTGAAAGGGAAAGAAATTTACACTTTTTGCCGTACAAAAAAAAATTTGTTCCAATTGGGAAACACCGTTTTTTGTCCTTATTCAAATTTTCTTCTAGATTTTTATAAATGATTGAATAATTGCATAATTTTTAATTTTATCAAATTTCTCAAGTTTTGCTACATTATTTACGAAAGTTGTTGGAATAGTGAGGGACTTTTTTAATTCTTTACCAAATTTGTACTTTTTCAACTTAGAATGCCGACTTTTACCGGTTGAAAGGATGGGTCAACACCGATACAGATCAGAAATACTTTTTTTTTGGAACACGCAAAGGAGGTGAAAAGACATTGATTTCACTTATTATATCTTGACTTACAAAAGATTTTTGGACGATAGTTTCTCAACAGTTAAACTTCTTTTCATCACAAATCTGTTGTTCTCCTAGCAGTGATTGAGTTCTGATTGACTGAAGCGCTTAACCAAATAAAACGTTATCAAGTTAATGGTTAAAGTTGAAGTGATTAGCTTAATTGACTAAAGCTTATGGTGAAGCACTTAGAAACCGTTGAGGCTTTACAACATATCTCTATTGAAGGTATTGAAGTTTAAACTTATTTTGATAATAATTTGTATAACAGTGTCCACTGTTGCATTTATCTTCTTTTATGAGCCTACGGGACAAATCGCAAATGTGACAGTGATTGATTTGTGACTACGGAACTGAAGGCGAGTGCGGAAAAAGTTTAGCTGTATTGGCGATAATAAGCGAAAGGTTAACCGGCAGTTAGAGATGTGAACCTGGAACAAAACGGGTAGCCCTATAATCTTTTCAAAAGTTCAAAGAACTTTTTCCTTCTGACATATAAATAAGATACTACTTAATGATGAAGAATTAAATCAGTGTGTTTTAGTGGCGTGATTTTAAACAAAGTGTGTTTTCTTACAGGCAAATATGGTGACAATATTTTTCCACCAAAAATAATTCAACATTTTTGGCACAGAAATTTTAGTAGTCAATTTACTTGAAGAAAAAGACAAAAAGCAGTAGAAAAAGATGAAAAGAGTAAGAAACAACAAAGTAATTTCAGAACTTCTTATACCAAAAAAAGTGATAAAGCCTTCAGCAGAACAGAACACATTATTGCTCATCAGTCATTTTACACTTCTAAGGCATATAACAAGAATTTTACAGTCGCTCTTCTCCAAAACTATATTTATGGTTTTATTTAAACAACTTCTTCTTTGCAAACTACATCAAAATCAACGTTTCCTTCGAAATGTATTTTGTTCTAGAATTTTCTCTGAATATATCATTCGAAATAGGGGTATAAGTACAAGGCGTAACACGGTTATTGTCTTTTTGGTTTACCCTATACTTAAATAGTCTATTTAAGTATTTTCCATTAAGGGAATATGTTATTATTTTCGCGTATTTTTTTATTTTCAATAAAATAAGTGTACAATATGGTGAGTTGACTAAATAATTAACTTATTCGTTGTTAGTTGATAACGGTTTCTTGCTTATTAGCTGCTACCTTGGTCTGGCTAAACAAGGTGGTCTAATGAACATTTATCGTCAAGTTTACTAAGACAGGCGGCTATGTTTTCAACTGTTACAGCACAGTTCTCAAATTACCTATGGTTTTTGCTCAGTGCTATAAAACTGATGTAAACCTGTACTTTTTATTGGTACTTTTTTTTTCTTTTGCTTTACTGTAACTTTTTAACAATAAAAATGCAGAAATTTGTTTGAATGATAAATTAGTCTGCATTGATCAGACTAGGCAGTTACAATTTGATTAGATCAATCTGTTCGATAAACTCATTTATGGGTGAAGAATCATGTCGATTTGCTTTAAATATTTTGTTTATGTACAGTATTAAAGCTGTTTTAGACGATTATTTTGCCATTCAAAATTTGACACATCTTAACTGAGTCATCAGACTGCAATATTAACACCAAATTTTATTATAATAAAGAAAAATTTGGTTTTCCATAATTTTTTACTCTAAAATCTTTTTTTTCTTTCTACATTTTTAAAGAGTGGTTTAGGAAATGAAAATACAGAATACAGATTAAACTTGATAAGTAAAATCAACTTGAAATTTTATGCAAATAACAAAAAAAAAGACAGTTTTATTCTGGAATT